TAGCAATTCTACAAGTTGTAGGAGAAGCCATGCCTGAACCTTCCAAGTCGGCGCCCGCCCCGAAGAAGGGCTCCAAGAAGGCGGTGACCAAGGCGCAGAAGAAGGACGGCAAGAAGCGCAAGCGCAGCCGCAAGGAGAGCTACTCGGTGTACGTGTACAAGGTGCTGAAGCAGGTGCACCCCGACACCGGCATCTCGTCCAAGGCCATGGGCATCATGAACTCGTTCGTGAACGACATCTTCGAGCGCATCGCGGGCGAGGCGTCGCGCCTGGCGCATTACAACAAGCGCTCGACCATCACGTCGCGGGAGATCCAGACGGCCGTGCGCCTGCTGCTGCCCGGGGAGCTGGCCAAGCACGCCGTGTCCGAGGGCACCAAGGCCGTCACCAAATACACCAGCTCCAAGTAGACGCGCTCCTGAGCGGCTTTGCCGCTGACCCCAAAGGCTCTTTTCAGAGCCACCCACGTTTTCTGGGGAGAGCTGTAACTGACGTTTGTGAGTGGCGACCCTGTATGTCAGCTATTGATGTAAGTTGTGTCTTAAGAGTTCTTAATTGTATTTGAGACAATCTCTGAGCCGTTATGCGGCCTGGAGGTGTCTTGACTTTAATTGAAATACTGCTGTGTTCGCCTCCCAGGAGACATCTCTTTCACAACTCTATTAATCCACCTTCCATGTGTCCTAAGCCTCTAAGCGCTCATTAAACCACACTTTCCCTGCCTCTGCTTCTTTCTGATGGAGACTGGAATTCAAAGGAGCTAAAGGATTTCAAGAGAAGGGCCCTCTGGGTGAGCCAGGCTGCCCTTGAGAAGGCTGCTGGTGCGGCCAAGGGCTGGTGGGGGCGCCTCTTCCCCGACCCTGGATCTCTGGAAACCAAAATCTCCCGTGGTTCCTCTGGCACTTATTCCTGTGGGCTGCACCCTGTGCTCTTTGCTCACAGATAAAATGAGATTCCTTCTAATTTCTCAGAATTGGTTACTGATGGCAACAGCCCATCTAAATCCGTTTGCATTTTTCTTGCATCCCAGAAATCCAAGCTCCCATTTCCTGGGTTTTTGACCGTTTGGGGATGCCACTGTAAGGGCAGGGAGGGTGGCCTCCATCTCTAGTGACAAAAAGTTTTGAATTTCCCGCCCTTCCCCACTGGCGCCACCTCGTGGTTGACTGGGGTGGGTGGAGAGAAGGGGAAATGGAAAGGTGCTTGTATTTTTCTGCAAACCTTTTTTTAAAGGAATCTGGGACTGTAAAAATAATCCCCAAGACACTGAAAGGACCCTTGGTTTAGGAAGGGGAGCTAATGGGGCCGGTCTAGATTTGAGGTTGGGGGATGTGGAGGGAGTCAGCTATTGACTGCTTATTACAACAGCAAAGAATTATTTTTCCCTTTAGTTTATGAGCACTTTTTGTACGTGACATACAACAGTGTCTTTGGGTGAAGAAATAAAATTTAAAGTTGAATTTATCAAAAAAGACCCATGTTAAA